TTTGGGGGGGGGGGGCAACAAACACGTGAACAAGGGGCGGGGGCTGGTTCTAGCTTTTTTGCTACCCCAAGCACCAACCCGCCGAAGTGCAAAAAAAAAAAAAAAAAAAAACCAGCTGGAGCACCGAAACAAAACAAACACAAAAAAGCTGCTTGAAATGTGCTGCGCCAGGAATCGCCGGAGTGCTGCCCCTTGAGATGTGCCGCCCCAGGCACGTGCTTCTTTTGCTGGAGCCAGCCCTGACAAGGGGGATCCAGTGGATATAGTGTACTTAGATTTTCAGAAAGCCTTTGACAAGGTCTCTCACCAAAGACTCTTAAGCAAAGTAAGCTGTCATGGGATAAGAGGGAAGGTCCTCTCATGGATCAGGAACTGGTTAAAAGAGAGGAAACAAAGGGTAGGAATAAATGGTTAGCTTTCAAAATCATAGAATATCAGGGTTGGAAGGGACCTCAGGAGGTCATCTAGTCCAACCCCCTGCTTAAAGCAGGACCAATCCTCAGACAGATTTTTGCCCCTAAATGCTCCCCCTCAAGGATTGAACTCACAACCCTGGGTTTAGCAGGCCAATGATCAAAGCACTGAGCTATCCCTCCCCCTGTAAAAATTCTCTTCACCCCAGATGGGACTTGAACCCACAATCGTTGGTTTAGGAGGCCTATGCCTTATCCATTAGGCCACTGGAGAGCGGTAAATAGCAGTATCCCTCAGAGATCTGTACTGGGACCAGTCCTATTCAAGATGTTTATAAATTATTTGGAAAAAGGGGTAAACAGTGAAGTGGCAAAATTTGCAGATGATGCAAAACTACTCAAGATAGATAAGTCCCAGGCATACTGCAAAGAGCTACAAAAGGATCTCTCAAAACTGGGTGACTGGGCAACAAAATGGCAGATGAAATTCATTGTTGATAAATGCAAAGTAATGCACATTGGAAAACATAATCCCAACTATACATAGAAAATGATGGGATCTAAATTAGCTGTTACCACTCAGGAAAGAGATCTTGGAGTCATTGTGGATAGTCCTCTGAAAACATCCACTCAATATGTAGCGGCAGTCAAAAAAGCTAACAAAATGTTGGGAATCATTAAGAAAGGAATAGATAATAAGACAGTAAATATCATATTGTCCTTCTGGATTTATATCCATGGTACGTCCACATGTTGAATACTGCATGCAGATGTGGTCACCCCATCTCAAAAAAGATATATTGGAATTGGAAAAGGTTCAGAAAAGGGCAGCAAAAATGATTAGGGGTATGGAACAGCTTCCATATGAGGAGAGAGAAGACTGGGAATTTTCAGCTTGGAAAAGTGACGACTAATGGGGGATATGATTGAGATCTATAAAATCATGACTGGTGTGGAGAAAGTAAATAAGGAAGTACTATTTACTCCTTCTCATAACACACGACCTAGGGGGTCAACAAATGAAGTTAATAGTCAGCAGGTTTAAAACAAACAAAAGGAAGTATGTTTTCACACAACGCACAGTCAGTCTGTGGAATTCTTTGCCAGAAGATGTTGAGAAGGCCAAGACTGTAACACAGTTCTAAAAGAGAACTAGAACTAGAGAAGTTCATGGAGGATAGGTCCATCAATGGCTATTAGCCAGGATGGGCAGGGATGGTGTCCCTAGCCTCTGTTTGTCAGAAGCTGGGAATGGGCAACGGGATGAATCACTTGATGATTACCTGTTCTGTTTGTTCTCTCTGGGGCACCTGGCATTGGCCACTGTCAGAAGACAGGATACTTGGCTAGATGGATCTTTGGTCTGACCCAGTATGGCCGCTCTTATGTTAAATACACTGCTACCTCGATATAACGTGACCCGATATAACGCGGTAAAGCAGCGCTCTGGCGGGGCGGGGCTGCGCACTCCAGTGGATCAAAGCAAGTTCAATATAAAGCGGTTTCACCTATAACGCGGTAAGATTTTTTGGCTCCCGAGGACAGCGTTATATCGAGGTAGAGGTGTACATAAGTTATCAATGTGCATGTCAAAAAATATACTTGTTGATAATAGGACTCTTGCATAGTTTAAGAATTACTCTTTGAAATTAACACTGTGAACTTGAAATCAAGTCAACTTTAACAAGTTTTAAAGGTAGTTTCAGGTACAGCACTACACTTGCTCCTGAGTTCCCATGCCAATTCTTAGGACCTCTAATTGAGAAGCCATGATCCTGCAGATGTTTACACACATGCTCCTCTATAAGCATTGAAGACAATCTAATAACTCATATACTTAAAGTGAAGTAAATGTGAAGTAGATATGTAAGTGTCTGCAGGAATGGGATGAGGTTGTCTTTTATTTTATTTTATTCTGTTGCTGTATGTGCAGGTAACTAAGGCCCTGATCCTGAAACTGCCTGGGTATAGGCATGTGCTTGAGCAGTTCTAACCATAGGGTTGGGATCTAACTGACTATACACCTGTTCTGCAGTTAAATGTGCAAAGTAATCAAGTTGGGGAAAAAAACAGAGAAAAATTATTTTGGTGTGATGGGGTGGGGGAGTCTTTGGGAAACAGACTATTAAGGGAGCAAGGAAGAAATCCTATATGCAGGTTGTTCAATGTCCTCTGTAGGGTTTCTTCCACCTCCTGTGAAGCATCTGGACTAGATGGGCCACTGATCTAATCTGGTACCTTCCTGTGAAACAGTACATTACTATAAAATGTCCCTTTCTTTTTTTTCCTCCTGTAGGAAACTTCCAGGGGAACACTTGACCTGATATGGCTTTGATTAACTTACAAAGTTTCCAGTTTTATTCTTCTAGTGTACGCACATGCAGATCCCTAGGAACGCTAAGAAAAACCTTGAACCACCTTAGTGATCAAGGTAGACAGCTAAGGTCATGGTGCTGTGGTTCCTCGGTCTTTGGCACAGTACTTTCAAGGGTTAGGTTTCGGTATGTGTTTTGTAGAAACTACCATGCAGAACCCTGGAACCAGTCTAACTCCATTATGGGATCTGTGCATCTTCACAGAGATGCTGGAAACAGTTCTAAATCTGATGGCAAATGGATGGATGAACAAAAATTTTTCATGGAGCTGAACAGCTTGAATTCATCCAACGAGATTTTTAAATTTCTGAGTTCTTTAGAAGTTCTGTCTGACACCATGGCAGCAGCAGCTTTACAGAGGATCTGTGAATTTGAAGTGGATGACAGTGGATTGAAGAATCCTGAAGCCATATTGGAGAATGAAGTCTTCAGGGCATTATGCTTTCAGTTTGAACATGAATCACAAAAGCTGTCAGACACTGGTCTCGTGACTGCTTTGCAGGCTTTGATAAAGTTGCGTGTAGATCCCTGGAGTACTCTGATTGTGCGTTTGGTATCAGAGAGCCAGGAACGGCTTGATAAGGGACAATTAACCATTAGAAACCTGTGTATTCTTGGAGAAAGCTTGCTTGATTTGGAAGGCCCAGGATGTATAATGCTGGAACAAATTGTGAACCAAGTACAAGGAAAAAAGCTTGAAGAATGGACCACTGAGGACATAGCAATGGTTTATGGAATGCTGCAGATGAGTATTACAGAAGAAGGACAATACCAAGACTTGTTAAACCACATGAACAACATCACTTTAACCTTAGCTCCCCAACTAAGTCCTAAATTGATAAGCAGAATACTGAAGGCACTGGTTATTCTTGACCAAACTCAGGCAATCCCTTTAGTAATAAGACTATGTAAGTATTCAGTGAGGCATGTCCCTCGATTCACAGATGATGAACTAGTAAATGTGCTGGGAGCTTTCATACATTTTGGACACACTGACCAATTCTTCACAGAAGCACTGGAAAGGCTTGTTCCCAAATCCTCCTTCACCATGTACCCTGAAGCAGTCAGCAAAGTCATGCAGTACTGCTGCAGAAAGCTGATCCGTTCTAAGCCCATCTTTGATGCCGTGGCAGAAAGTTTTGCTTATAATGCCGACAAATACACCACCAGACAGATTGCTGAGTATATTGTTCCATTTGGAACACTCAATTATCTACCACCAAGTGCTCCCTCTGTCTTCAGAAAACTTGAAAGGATACTAAATGCTCACTTTACTCAGTTTCAGCCTCACACCCTGCTGAATCTTCTCCACTCATGCACCCTTATTGAGCGCTACCCAGTAAACTTTCTGGCAAAAATATTTAACCCCATTTTTCTTCAACAGCTGCAGGGTAAGGGCACTAAGTTCATCTGGGTCTCTGTTACTCTGTATATTAGCTTCTCTCATACCACCTCCTTGCCACCTATGTATCTCAAACTCCACAATCAGCTGTCGGAGCTAACTGAAGAAGAGGGGACTGGGAAGTTGAAGGTACCTGTACAAAGTTTAGAGACAGAAACTTCTAAAGGAGAGCAGGAAGATAGGCTCCTTCCCTTCTTTAGCTGTTTCTGATTAAATAATAATACTTAGCACCTTCATATTTTAAAAGTGTTCCATAAACATTAGCCAGTTGATCCTCAGAAATTAGTAAATATTATCCTCAGCTTACAGATTGGGAAACTGAATCACACATTGAGGGGGCGGGTGGCAGAGGCTTCCTTTCCCATGCTTAATCCACTAGAACTTGCTGCCCCTCTGATGTCATGATATCTTGCAAGATAACATGAAGAACCCTGAATTCAGATCTTGCCAGATATTTATTTTTCTTCAAACTTTAAAAATACAGCTATAAGTGGGATATATGATTTTCAAATATTTGATTTTTTTATATGTAATTTTTAAGTTTATTTGCATATTCTGTTAATGATTTAGGATAAAGCAGCTTTTGTGCATGTTTATTTAAAAACAGCTCCCCTTTGTATAATGACTTGCATGGGAATTCTTGTTGAACACATCTCTGTACTGAATGTCTGAATCTTTTTGTTTCAGCTCAAACACCAGGTTTGGACAGATTTGTCCTCTCTCAGCTGACCCAGCTCTTTTTAACAGTTACCTTGGAGTGTCCCTTCTATAAGGTAGTGGATATAAGTTGAAATATTGTTTGGGAATTTTTTTAGTCCATGTAGTAATCGTTGCATAATTGTTCCTTCTGAAGCAACATAATATAGACTGGTGGTCCCTAAACTTTTCAGGGTTATGCCTCCCCCTTGCCCCCGTCTGCCCCTCCCTCACCCCCCGGGCCAGGAATGGGACTGTGGCTCTGGGGGAGGAGGGACGCAGATAGGGTAAGGAGGGAGGGCAGGAACGGAGCTGCGGCCCTGGGTCAAGGCTGGGGCCAGTACAGGGGCAGAGGCACGGTCAGGGGCCGGGAGTTGGGGGCAAGGCTGGAGCAGAACTGGGAGTGGGGCTGGGTGGCACTCCCTCCCTGCCCCCTGTGGGGGCTGGCCAAGGCCCTGTTGCACCCTCCACAAACATTCCTCTGCCCCCCACAGTTTCAAGACCTCTGATATAGATATATACAGACGCTCCCTCATGTTACGCAAACCCAATTTATGCAAATCTGCACTTACGGAAAAAGTTCCGTAAGCTAAAAATAGTTTGGGTATTTTTGTGGTGTTCTTTTTTTGGTGTAATGGTCGGGTATACGTTTCCGACTTACGCAAAATTCGAGTTACGGAAAGGAACGCTTGCGTAAGTCGGGGAGCATCTGTAGGTCTCTTTTCATGATTAAAATTGTGAGGCAATGAAATTGTCCTACTTTATTTTTCTGTTCTCTGCACAACCAGTTATGTACAATGCACCGTATGCAGCCATTAAAAAAAATCCCAGTGTGAAGGCATACACTGGAATCCTGTCTGGTTGCAGAGGGAAGGGTTATTGGCAAGGATTTCAAAAATGTGTAGAAGAAACTTAACCTACTCTGGCTGGCAATTTGTCTGACAAAACATTTATTGGCAGGAAAATGCTGATTCATCAAAACAAACTTTTTGGAGGAAAGGGTTGGTCTACCCTTTTAATGGCCTGATGCTGCGAGGTGCTGAGTGATATCCATACCCCTGGGGGTTGAGGGTATGCAGCATCTCACAGGGTCAGGTCCTTATGGTTTCTCTCGCAACCACTACATAATAAACAGCTGTCCTGCTCCTCACACTTTAATCCATAGAAATTCAATATAATTTACAAAGGCTGGTGAGAAAGGGAGCACTGTGATGAGGGGACTGCTTCCCTTAGCCTGAGATATGTTATAAAACCTGAAGTTGTAGGAGTTGGGGATGAGGAAGTGACAAGCTCTTTGGACCATAAATGAAATTCTGCTTTAGGAGGACATTAAGAGCTAGGAATCTTCATGATGAGAAAGACAGTCTTTATTTTTCCTATCCCACAGAAATGTGAAAGCCCAGTGGAGGAGCTAGCATTTTTTGTCTAATGGGAGGAACATCTGAGTCATGGGATGCTCTCTTCTCTTCTCTTCTCTCAATTTCTGGCATGTAAAATGCTGGCAAATCACTCTTGCCTAATTTCTTTACTTTCCACAGGAAACTAAAGTGTTGTCTGGCCCGATTGTAAGAGTCTAACAGTAATGCTGTCTTTTTCTCCTTGTTTCCTGTGCCTGGTTCTGAAGGGACAGGACAGAGCTGATGTTAATGTTGGAGATACATAATTCTGGGACCCACCTGTAACTGACAGGAGGTCAGGAGGACTGGAAACCAAGCACATCTGGCAGGCATAGTTACCATAACTCAGAAAGCAGGGATCTCAAACAACATCCATTGGTAGTGAACTCACCCATTGCACTGAGCCATGTATAGAAGATGTTTCCCTTTGTTTTTTTCTTTTTGGTATGAGAGGATATAGAAGGTAACACAAGCTCCTGTGATTCCCCAAGCAGCTCCACTGGGAAATTGAAACCTTCAGGCTTGTCTCCTTGCAGCCTGTAGCGTGGACTACCCTAGGCCACGCTTGAGGCTGATGGTGGGTAAATATATATTTGGACATATAATAAGAGTCTTGCTTGGAGTGTTTCTGTTTTAGTTTGGTGTGGTATTTCCTGTTTGTTAGGGTCCTGATTCAACAAGATACTGAAACACATTATGTATACTTTGTTACAATAATACACTTGCTAGTTATTAAAAAAAAATAGCTTACCCGCCTCATTATTTTTTAGTTTCTTAATTACCTGCATATGTAGGAAATGTTTCTATGTGCTACTGAGGTAACTGTAAGTGCAGAGCAGATAGAGGCTTAGATTTTATCTTTTTTCTTGCTAAGTGAAATTTTATGAGTATTTCCTTGTCTTTGCTCTTTTGATAGGGTCCTACACTCCTTCCAAAGTATCGAGTAAAGTCCTTTCTCATACCAGGCCGTTCACTGGAGTCCTCTGTGGACGTTCACCTCTACAACAGGGTGAAGACTGGACTTGTTGCTTTGCTAGGATCAAGAATGTATTTTGCTTCTCGTGTGTTGACACCATATTGCTATACATTAGGTGAGTGATGTTGCCATCTTTTAAGGTAGAGGGGACTGGACCTTCCAGACTTACACTTCTCTAATTCTATGATTATTGACACTCTATCTGGAGTGGCTCAAGACTGAGAGTGCCAATTTCAGGACAGACTGTCAAAAAGCAGGGCAGACACCCCAAACTGGTGGTATGATCTGTAATTAGATATCACCAACCCAATAACAAATGTGAATTCCCAAAGTACAACCATAGTTTGCTAATGTAGTCACAGACAGTCCCCTTAGACATTCCAGTCTATCTTGCCACCCAGGCAAGCTGGACTATGTGATAAATGGTCACTTACAACAAAAATCACAAAATACTCAGGTTGCTTCCAGTCCCAAGTGAGCAGTCACTTACCCCAGATCAGTTTGTTCCTTAGATCTCACACCAAAAACAATGTTGGTAGCCAATCCTATAATAAACCAACTAAAGGTTTATTAACTAGGAAAAAGAAATCAGAGTTATTTACAGGTTAAAGCAAGAAAGCATATACACAAGTGAGTTTCACTCTCTGATTCAAAAGGTGACAGAGTTGTAGTAATCGGTCAATTCAAAGCATCTTTCAGGGCTAACCCCTACCAAGTAGCATGGGGATCTCTTTGCTTGTGTTTAGGAATATTTGCCTCTCAGTCTAAACAGCATGAAAGAGAGATTCAGTTTCTCCTTGTCAGGGATTATTATCCCCTCCACTACAGAGTCCAAACTGATGGGATGAGTTCATGCATAGGTCTCTCCTTCCTGGAGGAAATTAGGAATGCAGTCACTAAAGTCTTTGTCCTTTGAAGCTACACAATGCTTAATTTGCCTTCAATGGCCATGGACAAGCACTTTACCGTAATCAATGCTGCGTGTCCTATTTGGCGAGTTACAAAATTACAGAGGTTTACAATGCAAACACTTCAGTATAACTTTATACCATGGGCTATAGAGGTTATAAGTGAGATCAATACATGCAACATATTACAAGCATTTTATAAAGTCTAAACACATTCTTATCAACTTACCATCTAATGTCTATTTTGATAATGCTAACACACAGGTAAGCAAGATTGGTTTCTAGCTATCCATTTGTAAGTGTTCAGTGAGGCCTGGGACCTTCGCATGAGCTGGCACTTGGCCTACCAGTGTCACAGGTATTATAGCAGCATAACTTTGCATCGTGTTGTCACGGTTTAGAGCAACTGCACCTGTATTCCCTCTCCATGGTCCACCAAAGGTACCCATTCTAGTCTCCCAGCTCCTCAGCCATCACCTCTTTGGAGTACAGACCCATGTCTCCTTCCCTGCTGTCTAGGATTTTTCCAGGCTGCACATTTCTCTGCCTACACTGTGATATTCACAGCAAGCCAGCAGTTATAAGTTACCACCCAGATCTTTCTATGCAAGACAGAAAATGTGCAGTTTAATATATTATTTATGTTAAATGTACATTGTGATCTCTCAGACCAAAAAAAAAAATCAGACAAAATTAAGGCTGTAAATAAAGCTTTTAAAAAAGCAGTATTTATCAAAATATCATAGTTTGAAATTCAAAGTTCTTAACTGACTCATGGCACAGTGCAGAAAGAGAAAACACTGAAAAATAGAGAATTTTTGTTCTGTTTAAAAAAAAAAAATGTTTTTAAACCATCTCCAAAATGTCTTGTCAGGCAGGGAAAGGTAACCTCAGATTTGCATGTGCACACAAATCTTATTTAGGAGGAGTCCACTCATTTTAAACTTTCGGGTAGAAAGGATATTTTACTGAGATGTTGGTGGGGTCATTAAAAGGAGATATAGGCCTGGTCTACACTACGACTTTAATTCGGATTTAGCTGCGTTAATCCGAATTAACCCTTCACCCGTCCACACTACAGAGCCAGTTAATTCGAATTAAAGGGCACTTAAAATCGATTTCTGTACTCCACCTCGACGAGCGGAGTAGCGCCTAAATCGATTTTGTTAATTCGAATTAGGGTTAGTGTGGCCGCACACCACCGAATTACTGTGTTTAAATTAATGGGGTAGTGTGGCCGCACACCACCGAATTAATGTGGTTAAAAACCGAATTAATGTGCTTAGTGTGGCCGCGCACAATCGAATTTATACAACCTGTTTCCCAAATTCGAATTATCTAAATTCGGATTAATCCCGTAGTGTAGACATACCCATAGAAAGGAAGCTACTAGGTACATGCAGTGTTATACACTCACATTGTAGGCAATACAGCTATGGAAAAATGAAGATATGCCACTATCTTGTCTTGAATGTCAGAAAATTCTCCAGTTCAAGTATGCATGAGGCCAAAGAATCATTCCTTGATTAAAATCTTGGCAAACGGAAGGTCTAGGTTATCCATGGTAGTTGCTGGCTGCCCAGATTATACATAACCAGCAGTTGCATAATTTATTTACGTCTTTTTTAGAAGTATTTTCCACGTGTTTATCTGCCTTGTTTATTCTTTAATCATTAACCACCTCTTTCTTCTTAACTCCTTTTTAGACCTGCACATGGATAGGTGTAATTTGCAATAGAAAGCTACGTTCGTTCTTGGGGAGTGTCTGTCATTCAAGGAAAAGTATTAATAAGAAATAGATGGAAATTACAATAAACAGTGTATATTGTATGAAAGCATTTGTTTTTCTTTCCCACTCATCTCTTTCCCAACCCAGATGTTGAGATTAAATTAGATGAAGAAGGCTTTGTATTACCTACCACCCTATATGAGGAGGTGCACAGGAGGTAAGAGAACTACAAACATTAGAGGCAAATACCATCAGACTGTGAGATTACATTAACATTGACAAAAATGGCAATATTCAGGTTGAAATTCTGGCCCTATTGAAGTCAATGGGAGGTTTGCCATTGATTGCAATGAAGCCAGATTTATACCCTTGGTATCTTAAAACTTTGAGTTGCAATGTATCACATATAGACCCAGATTGTGAGTGGTTATGAGGGACAGACGAGAAACTTACTCTTCACTACGTAGGAGCCAGAGTGGATGACACTAATTTTCTAATAAATAAATAAAAATTAAACAAATTATTTTACTTACTTTATTGTTTATTTTCTTTTGACTTTATATTTTTAAGTTGCTAAAGTGGATGTTTGGTACTTGTTTCTTTAGTTTCCTAATTATGTAAAATCTGAAATTTTACAAACAGATTTTTTTCTACTAATTAATTTCACCTCTAAAATGTCATCTGTGCTGAAAAAGTTAAATCCAGGGCCTCATTAACATACTTCATGTGAGACCAGCACAACCTCAGAGACTAAATCAGAGGTGGCCAACCTGAGCCTGAGAAGGAGCTAGAATTTACTAATGTACATTGCCAGAGAACCACAGTAATACGTCAGCAGCCCCCCATCAGCTTCCCCACCCTGCTCCCAGCGCCTCCCACCTACCGGCAGCCCTGCTGATCAGCGCCTTCCCCTCCTTCCCCGCACCTCCCAATCAGCTGTTTCGTGGCGTGCAGGAGGCTCTGGAAGGGAGGGGGGAGGAGTGAGGGCACTGCAGGCTCCGGGGAGGAGGGCAGGAAGAGGTGGAGTGGGGGCAGAGTCGGGGGTTGAGCAGTGAGCACCCCCGGCACACTGGAAAGTTGGCACCTATAGCTCCAGCCCCGGAGTTGGTGCTATACAAGGAGCCGCATACTAACTTCTGAAGAGCCATATGTGGCTTCAGAGCTACAGGTTGGCCACCCCTGAACTAAATTGATAAGCAAGGAACTTATACTATATTTGCAATTGGACTTCCATAAGTCAAGAAAGCTGAGGTGCTTTGACCAGGCTGTACTCCTCCACCACAATTTGCAGTTTGATATCCGTGGGACCTGTGCTCCTAAGTCATGTAGGTGCTTTTGAAAATCCCATCTATAGTTGTCTAAATGTGGAGTTAGGAGCTTAAACATAGCCTCTTACTTTTGAAAAGTTTGGCCTATGTTCACAATAACTTTAATTTATTGAAAGTATTTATTGAAAATGCACATTGTGAAAGATGAGGCAAATTTTGGTTTGGAATGACAAAGGTTTTATGCCATTGAGAGACATTTTTAATCAAAATACAGTTTTTGCCCCTGATGCTGCAAACCTTATACAGATGCTTAACTTTAAGTAACGTTCATTTAAGTAAAGCTACCTGCTTAAGTGTTTGCAGGATCAGAGTCTTGTTTTCAGTATTCAAATAAGATACCCCACCAATAGTGGCATTACAAATAAACAATTTAGGTAATTTGATTCATTATATATTTTAATCTAAAATTGCTATATAATATTTTTTTCAAATTAATTTTAGAAAGTTTCAACCTGATTTAAATAAATGATTTAACAAAAAATCACTTTATTTAAATTGCCTTGATTTAAATCACTCTACCCTGGCAGGGGCCAATCACAGTAGCATCCCCTCTGCTCTGACCCCGAGGGACCATGTGCTCTAAAAGGGTGTGGGGAAGAGGCAATATCCCTTGCCCCTTTCACTGGGGCCCACAGAGTAGGTCTAATAATTGATAGCATTGTTTTTAAATGCACTTTTGTGTTTGATTTTTAGAATAGCCCTGTGTATTGATGATCAAACGAGGTTTTGCAGCAACAACCACAGTCTTCTAGGCAAAGAAGCTATTAAACAAAGACATTTGCAATTACTTGGATATGAAGTTGTGCAGGTAAAGGCTGAAGCTATCAGCTGGTGATTCTCTAGCTAGAAAAAGATTGAAGGCTAATTTATAAATAATAAAGCTTAAAGCTACTGCTGCAAACACTTCCCATGCTGGTTGTGAACTTGCCCTGGCTGTGTGACCGCTTCCCTTTTTTGGTCTCTTCTGCTTGTCTTCCTTTTATTTTTTATTATTAGTTCATTCTTTCTGCTTGCCAGTTGCAAATTTCAAGAGCACTCAGCTCCTATGACTGTTTAAGATTCAAATCCTGGCCTCATTGACTTCAGTGGAAGTTTTGTCACTGAGTTCAGTGAGACTAGGGTTTGTACCTAAATGTCTCACTTTTTTTTATTTTCAAAAGACCTTAACTGGGATTTTTTTTAAGGTGAAGGGTTTCTTGGTAAAGAATACCTATAAAGCCTCTTTTCTGTTCCTAGAATCCCCCAAACTAGGTCATTTTCATTATTTTGCTTGTTCATATTTACTTAATTTTTGCTGAAAGACTTTTTTCCCCTGTGGATTGAAGTAAAATCCTTTTTTAAATTTTGCAAATGGAGAATTTGTTATAATCAGCTAGTTCAATGCACCCAACTTTTTATAGTCACCCAGTTCTAATAGTAACTGACTTTGGCCCTGATCCTGCAATGAACTCCACACTCAGGCAGTCCCTATAGGGTCCACTTGCATAGAGTCAACTGCAAGATTGGAAGCTTAATTTGCATTTTTAAAAGCTTAACATCATTTATGACATGAAATTATTCATTAAGGAAAATTTCATTTTATGAAAGTTAATCTTAAAGAATATTGAATATAATGCAGTTGTTCATTTAAATCCATTTCTCACAACCATTTCTCCCTTTAACTTCCAGATTCCATTTTTTGAGTTTGAGACTTTAAATAACAGCAGAGAGAGAGTAGAATATCTGCACAAGAAAATTTTTCCTCACACCTACAGGCTCAACTGGTGATACAATATAACGATAGACTACAGACTGGTCTACAGCACCTCTAGGTACTGTGAAGTGTATATTTTTTGAATGGGAGAACCACTCTACTTTCAAAGTAACTCCTCATAGGATAATTTTAGCTTCTGAATGTGAGGCTCTCCAGTTCCTGGATGGATTGATGTACAAAGAATTAGAAAGGGCAACAGAATGTATTTTATTTTGTGTGAATATTTACTGCAGCTGAATAATAATGGAAAATGCTTGCAAAACCGTTCATGCTGAGTTTCCTGGGTATTGCACTTTTCCTTTTAGCATTGACAGAGATATGCTTGTAAATGGGTAAATACATCATTGTATGTGGGGTTACTAAATGTTGCTAGACATTCAAGTTGTTACTGATCAGGGCTTTTCTCAGTGGTACAATAAATTCAGTTGCACAGTGTCAAATTGTGCACTGTCTTACACTCTGCAACGCTGGAATTATTGGAGTTTCCAAAATATGTAAAGCAGGGTAGAATTTTGCCTCTAGTGTGAAGGCTTAGTACTTATGAAACAAATTTAAATACCCTAAAGAAAAGTACAGTTTAAATATATATGCAATTACGATAATAAACTTGTATTGATTTTTTTTTAATAATGTGATTTAAGTATGCAAGTTTTCTATTTACCAGGAATTTTAAATGTGAAAGAAAATCAATGCACTTCATTCATATTTGCTCATGTACTTATTTGTATTTCTCACCATTTTAGATTTCTGAGTTGTATTCCATTGAACCTAAAATATTAGTGGTTTTAATGTTCAGTGACTCCAGTAAAGAGCACTATTGCCCATTGATCATAGAGTAAAATAATTTATTTGAAAGTATGAAAAATTCATTGCATTGTCATCAATCCAGTGCTGTTTGTTATAAAGCTCTTTTTTCAGATAAAAAATGAAGAATTATTCTTAAAGATGAAACTTGAATCCCCAACTACCTTACACTGTCAAATCAACCTTATTTTCTCTGATAGAGACACTCATTGCAAGCTAATGGAGTTATACAGGTGGCACTGAGGGCCTCGTTTGTTCAGCAGAATCTGTGTTGCTAGAGATGATGTGTGAGATAGAGGTAGCTCAGCTTGACTTTGAGAACACCGGATGAGTTCAGTGGGGAAAAAATCTTCCAGCCAGGCTAGATTGTTTCCTTTATGTCCAGTGGTGTGTAGTTACTTGTGGAAATAGTAAAGCCGACGTACAAAGTTAAGCAAGATTGACCCTAATTACTACAGATGGCAGGTGACCTAAGTCAGAGGGAAAATTCCTATAGTTTTAAAACAAAACAAAAATACAACTTTTCTTATTTTGTTAAAACATCCACCTCCTCTAGCATAGGTTCTGTTTTTTTGTTTTGTTTTCTTCTGAGGGTACATCTACACAAGGATAAAAACCCACAGCTGGCCCAGGTCAGCTGACTCGGGCTCACAGGCTTCGGGCTCTAGTCTGAAAAATTGCTGTGTAGATGTTCAGGCTTGGGCTGGAGCCCCTGCTCCGGAACTCTGCAAAAGGGAAGGGTCCAATCCAAGCCTGAATGTCTACTTAGCAATTTTTCAGCTCGGAGCGCAAGTCCGAGTCAGCTGACTTGGGCCAACTGCGACTGTTTTATCCCTGTGTAGATGTAAGCTAAATGTCCCTGTTGATTGCCTTTGAAATGCAGACATCTGTCAGAGCTGCCAACCAGTACCCAGATGTTTGAGGTTGATGCTCAGAGCTGTAAAGACATCTAGATTTTATTTACCCCAATGTGCTTTCTCACTTTGTCCTCTCCCAATCCTTACCTCACCCCTCCCTGCTCTCACTGGTGTGGGAGCGTGGCACTTTGGCAAATTGCCAGTCTGGTCTCTTTTCTGGGTCAGTTCAACCATCCAAACTCCCCACTCTGCTGGCTCACATAGCTAGGGAATAGAGCTGAGCACCAGTCAGAAGAGAGCTTGTGTTAAAAAGAGCAAGCACTTCACCTTCCCACTCAGACCACCAAGTGAGTGAGTGAAGGTGAGGAATGGACTGTCAGAGAATAGTCTCCCCAGGTGAAGTGAGGGGGAACAAAAGAAAAGCCTTAATATTTGTATTATTATAGCTTCTAGGGGCTCTAGTCATAGACCATTGTGCTAAGCACTGTACAAACCCAGAACAAAAATACAATCCTTGCCCCAAAGAGCTTGCAGTCTGAGTGTAAGACAAGAGGCAACAGATGGAGACAGACAGGAGTCTACAAGAAAACAATGAGACAGTACAGGCTAGCATGATATGGTTGTGGCATCAGCACAGCAGCAGCTTAATGGTAAGGGAAAGTTTGAAGGAGGATAATGTGGTAGTTTTCAGATGTTTGCAGAGAGCTGCTCCCAAGCATGACGAGTAAGGAGGAGGAGCCTGTAGTAGAGGGATGCAAAGAGAGGGGTCATGTGATTAAAGTTATGGGCTAGGAGAATAATCTTTGCCTGATTGAAACTGGAGCAGCCTGTCTTGTCAGTACTTCCCTTATTATGAATATGAGATGCTGCTGCTTGTTTCTCTGACTACCCAGCCGGTGGTGCTGTTGTCAAATGGCTTGATGTTTTGTAGTTTTCAAGCAAAAATCATGTGTAAATGAAGTCAGCAGACTAGATGTGAGGACTAAATCTTGCTCTAACGTATTTCACCAAAAATAACCTGTATGGAACATGGCTGTATGCTCCCTGGCTGTTGGGTGTGGGTGTGTGTGAGGTAGGGGGCTGGGGATAGCTCTTGTGAAAGGTGCTCCTGCACAGTCAGGAAATGTTTCCCTTATTAGGCTTTGTTCTTGTTAGCAAAATATAAATTATGAGAATGAAAAAAAAATCTGAAGGTGCTACCCTTTCACCTCTGCTCCCTCCACCACTCCACCCCTTTGTATGCTTGTTACTTGATTTTCTGCTTATGAAAGCCATGAGCAAGAAGTTTTTTGTAAAAACAGCAGAAGAGTTCAGCTGTGACCACAAAAGGCTTAGAGGCTGTTTCTCAGAAGTGCTGACTAGTCAACACTGAAAATGAAGTCAGTAGGAGCTGTGGGTGTTCAGCCACTTTGAGGATCAGGCCCCTCGTAATTAGAATAATCTTTACTGACTAGGCTGGCTTTGGTGGGGTTTATCGGTTTTGAACAACAGTGATGAATAGTTCTTGTGGATTTTTTTTTTTTTTTTCATTTTTAAACAGCAAAAATTTTGAGAATCAAATGGCTGAATTTATGTCTATTACAACTCCTGATTAGAGAGACAAGGTGAGTGAGGCAATATCTTTTATTGGACCAACTTCTGTCGTTGAGAGACAAGCTTTCGAGCCAGAGAGCTCTTCTTCAGGTCTGGGAAAGCTACTCTGAGCATCACAGCTAAATGCAAGATGGAACAGATAGTTTAGCATAAGTAGTTAATACATATTCTAAGGGACCATTCAATATAACTATGCTAGACACTAAAAATCATGGACTGAACAGAGACACTGTATTTATGGTTTATTAGAACAATCTGTAACCCGCTAACCCGATCTTTTTGTCCTGTGACTGCAGAGGTGTTAACAGGCCACTCTACCTTGAATGATCCCTTAGAATATGTACTATCTACTCATGCTAGACAATCTGTTCTATTTTTTGTTTAGTTGTGATGCTCTGAGTACCTTTCCCAGACCTCAAGAAGAGCTCTGTTTGGCTCGAAAGCTTGTCTCTCTCACCAACAGAAGTTGGTCTCATAAAATATATTACCTCATCCACCTTGTCTCTCTAATATCATTGGACTGACATGGCTACAACTACACTGCATACAACAACTCGTGACTGTCATTTGAAACTGATAATGAAAATATTGTATATTCTGGGTTCAATAAAAACATATGAAACATAATAGGCAACAGGTTTAAAACAAAAGGAAGTATTTCTTCACACAATGCACAGTCAGCCTGTGGAACTCCTTCCCAGAGAATGTTGTGAAGGCCAAGACTATAACAGGGTTCAAAAAAGAACTAGATAAATTCATGAAGGATCGGTCCTTCAATGGCTATTAGCCAGGATGGGCAGGAATGGTGTCCCTCGCCGCTGTTTGCCAGAAACTGGGATTGGGCAACAGGAGATGGATCACTTGATAATTACCTGTTCTGTTCATTCCCTCTGGGGCACTTGGCACTGGCCGCTGTCGGAAGACAGGATACTGGGCTAGATGGACCTTTGGTCTGACCCAGTATGGCCGCTCTTATATTCTTATAAAATTTACACAACCATTTAAGCAGACATTTCAGTACTTTACTCTGAAAAGGAGAGATTTTTACTATCAATTAAATGAGCTTTTAGAGTGAGAGAACTTTTTCAGATGAATACTGTCCAAACCCAAGTGTGTCCTAAGGAGACATGCCAGCCCTTGGTAAGAAACTACAGTATTTAGTGCAAGTTAGAGGCCTCTTCATGTTATAATTTTCTGCTGCGTTGGGTACTGAACCAAACAGGATTTTTCTTGTCAGAACACCAGGTATTTATCTTTACATTTAAGAGCAGCACAGTACCATTTTTCTCTAGTGAGCTTTGAATATTTTTTGAGTCAATTTAATTATTCAGTTGTTCGTTTAATAGTGGGATAACTTCAATAGGGGAGACCCATATTAGAATATCCCACAGCTTAGTGTACTCATCTGACCGATGCCAGAGCCCTGTTGTAATCCCTTCTCCCCTTTGGTGGAACTTGAACCAAAGGTCTCTTACATCCTGGGTTAGTACCCTATCCACTATGCTAAAGATTATAAGGGAGGTCCTTGTCCCCCTACCACTTCACAAGCTGTTTTGTGTGAACTTGTCTGAGGGGCCTGATCCAGTAGGCCAGCTCATTGGCCCCCAGCAGGTGAATGAGGCAGCTGATTGCTGTTCTAGGGCTCAGACAGGAGATAAGTGCCCGGGCACATAGAGTGAGGCTGCAGTAAGCATGTCCAGAGGCAAAAATTTAGGCACCAAGTGAGGTTAGACACCTACAGGGTTAGGTGGCAGCCGAGAGAGTTTTGTGGATTGCAGTGGCACCTAAGCACCTTCATGGATTGCACCCTCACATTAAGATGTTGCAAAATCGGTACCTAAAGTTAGAAACCTAAACTCCTACTTAGGCTCCTATTTGAGTGCCCCAATTTTTAAAAGTGCTGAGCACCTAGCAGCTCCCATTCACTTCAAGTGAAGGGCTTTTTAAGGAGAACAAGCCCATCTCTGCTGACCTATAAGCAATTAACTGCCAGCCAGCCCACCTAGGCAGTAATTGAGTAACAAGCACCTAGGCCTGGTAAAAGGTTACCAGAGTTCAGTTGGAGGGAGGTGATCCTAGAGAGGAGTTTCGTGAGACTAGCAGGGTAGAGTTAAACTCTTGTAGCTTACTAGTGGAAAAAGTGAGTAAAAAGGGACCAAAGGGGAAAAGCTGACTGAAGGCTACAGCTGGGAGAAAAACTGGGAAATCCCGTCCTCAGGAGAGGATGCTTGCTGGGATTAGCCCCAGAGCTTAGAAGAAGGGTTAGATTTGAAGGGCCTATGAAGAGAGGTTTTGTACTGTGTGAAGAAAATTAATAAATGAGACTTCACAAAGGGAGTCTTTTGTTCTCAGTTCCTGGGTCTGGAAATCCTTACATGACTGAAAGAGCGTAGTAGGCCTGCAAGGACTTGCCCATTCAGAGGGTCGATGGAAACATTTTATGAGATGTGTTCTGGTCCAAAAAAACCTAAATAAATCAAAGAGACAAGGTGTGTGAGGTAATATATTTTATTTGATCAACTTCTTTTGGTGAGAGAGACAAGCTTTTGAGCTATACGGAGCTTTTCTTTAACTCTGGGAAAGGTACTCCAAGTCAAAACATGTCGGTTTGGTGTCTTTGATTTGAAATAACTTTTCATTTAAAAATTTCCTTCAATATTATTGTACAAAGTTAAATACTTGAAACCAAAACAAAACCCTTCATTTTGAATTGAATGAAAGTTCAGTTTGGACCCACCCCCCAAATTATTTATTTTTTTAAATTTCCAGTTTGCCAAAAATCTCAACAAATTTTTGTTTTCAGGTTGATCTGAAAATATTTTATATTTTTTTTCTGGTTACAGATTTAGGCACTTGTTTTGGAAAATCTTGGCCTTAACCTCTTTCTGCCTCCGTTTTTTCATCAGGATAATAATACTTCTGAATCTAATAGGAATGGTTGTGTGGATTGTAAGTTGATGTTTGTAAATGCTTTGAAGAAGAAACTTGCTCTATTCTATTGTAATACATTGTCATCATTGAAAATTGGTAGAGAAATTATTTGCAAGATTTTAATGAAATGTCAAGGTACATTTACACTAACATGGGGAAACTGACAGCTGTTGTGGATTCTTTTTTTTTGTATCCAAGTCACACTGACCAGCTAAAGGAAAGTATTACAAGAAAAGGCAAAACAGTCTTCATTTTCTTCTTGCTGTGAAAACTCTGTTGTACTATGTTCATGTTGATGGCTGGGGGGACAGGAGCTTTAGGATGGTTCAAGACTTTGAGAAGGTTTTTCCAGCAAGCAGCTGACTCCATTTTTCCTGTAGAACTCAGCCTGAACACGGTTAATCCTTGCATAATCTCTGATCGACTGCTCTACGGGCTGGTTTATGTGTCTCCCATATTCTGAAGAGGACAAAACAGCAATGGGTCTTGCCAGTTCCTGTAAGAACATTATTTAGATCTTATATTCCTTAACGTATAAACACACATGCAAAACAGTAGAGGAGCCACTGCTATGACAAATATAGATTGCTAAGTCTGGTGTAGCAGCTGGTGACAAGTGGGCCTTCTGCCTAGACAGAACTGTATAATGTGTGTTAGAGCAAGGCACATTTGTTTAGCAGAAAGACAATTACAGTGGGGTTTGGATCATTACTTTATTGTCCAAAATTCCTGACTGAACTTTAACAATAGTGAAAAAACATGAATGCATCACTGAGACAGCAGAATATGGAGATATGCTCTGAATTACTATATACTGATTACATGTACATACCCATATATATATATCCACACCCTAACCATGTGGAGGTGATTTCCATGTCAGTAGTTGCAGACCATGTAATAAATTAATTTAGTATGCTTTTTTGGGTCAGTAGAGAGGTTTTATTAGCTCGCATTTGGGATGACCTGTACAATGCACGTGTGGCTGTGATGCTTGTAATGTTCCCAACCAGTTTTCATGTTCTGCTACCTCATTATACCTTCATGTATTCTGCCCATATAACTTACTGCAAAAAAAGAGTTAATGAAACCTGAGCTTGAAAATATCAGCTCACTGACACACCCGTGGTAAGCAGGAAGCTTTCCCTGGCGATTGTAGAGGACTAAGCCACTGATTTCTGTGCAATTAAAGGTCTCATTTTAAAAAACAATCTTATGGTTATGATGCTGACCTTGTAAATGTGAACTGGCTGTAAATGTAGACTGGTGCAGCATTATTACCCTCCTGAGTCACAGCAACCAGGAGGCTCTGGAGGCAGAAGAGACAGAAAGCTTTCTTCCTTCCTGCAGCTAAAGTGTGGATGGAACATCAAATGTATGAGATAACGTGTATGTTTGTACAGCGTCTAGCACAGTCGGCCCCTAATCCTGGCTGGGGTCTATAGGTGCTACTGTAATAAGAGCTAAAGGATGATACATAAAGATGGAGCCTACAGCAGGGTTAAGGTGACAGCTTTTAAGCACTCTACAAATACTTGATAAATTTGGATCAAGCCCTATACATTAAAGACAACTTTGGTCTATAGACCACTGAGGCAGCTGTGCTCTGCTGGGACAATGCAGATCACAAAGGTCAGGGTCAAGCATTCTCTGGTGAGTTGATCCAACTACAGAGTGAACTTCCAGAGGAGATCAGGCAAAGCGGGAGCCTGACCATCTCTAGGAAATGCTGCAAAACCTTCCTCTTCAAAAATGCTTTGCCAACCTAATGACATTTCCAACAGTGCCACCCCACTTGTACCCCTAAACTCTACCAAAATAAAAGGAAATTAAACACCCCCCAAACCAGAGTTTTGACCCCAAAAAGGGAGATGAGCCAGCTCCTCCATGAAGTCTACTGGGCACTTTACTATTGAGTTTAGGAGGAAGCTGCTCACATACAGAAGAGACACTGGGAGTGTTCCATGACCCACTCAGAATCCCAAGATTCACAGGGCAATCAGAGGTAATTCTCACAGATCTTGGAACTTCCTAACTGAGCATTTGCTCTCCAATGCTGGTGTCTGGGCACCCCTCCCCCCAGGCAGTATTAACTCTACAAGGATCTCTCCACTTGGACATTCACAGGGCCCTAAGTGGGGAACTCTACAGAGAATGGTTTCAGCCTAGCTGTACTCCCCAAACTCTACTGTGCCCTGAGAATACAGAAAATACACAGAGGGGAGACTGCTAGCTCAGGAAAATAGGGGGTGTGTGTCTTTGGGTATGTCTATACAGCAGTTGGGAGTGTTCATCCCCCCTCAGGCAGCTGGAAACATGCTAGCGTTGCTTGAGCTAGTGCACTAAAACTAGCAGTGGACATTGTGGCAGAGGCAGCAACATGGGGTAGCCACCCACGTGGAAGCCTGGCTGACTCCTTGGGTCTGTACTTGGGTGACTAGCCTGTGCTGCTACCTGAACTGCAACATCCACACTGTCTACCCAGTCTGAGGGGCATGGCTTTACTCTTTCCCTGAACCTGGCTTAGGATACTTTGGGAGCGTAAGTCCCATTTACAGACACCACTGATCCACAAAACTCCTGCTTGGCTGTTGCCTAATGCTGTAGGTGCCTAAACTCATTCAACACCTAAACTGTTGCCTCTGGGCACATGTCCTGCAGTCTCACTCTAGATGCCTGAGTGCTTTTCTCCTGCCTGAGCATGTGTACTACTTCCTTGAGATAGGTGTCCAAACACCTCTCACCCTCCTAAGCACCAGTGTGAGTCACAAACTAGGAAGGGTTGGCGTTCGGCTGCCTAAATCACATATGGGGCCCCAAACAAAACTGCTGGGGCGTGGGAGGGGAGACAGACCTCCCCTATAATCTTTAGCCTGGGGTTCTCAGCCAGGATGTGGAAGACCCCAGTTCTCTTCCCTCCACTCCTGCCCCGTCCTGAGCGGAGAAGGGAGTTGAACAGTGAGCTGCCACATCTCAGGTGAGTGCTCTTACCACTAGGTGATAACATTCTTTGGCCCAATACATATTTAAGTATTCTGTTGTTTAATTAAAGTGGAACAACTTCAACAGGAGACAGTGAGGAACCCCTGTCCCAGGGGTTAGAGCACTCACCTGAGAGGTAGCAGATCCATGTTTAAATCCCTACTCCTCAAGTGGAGGTGGGACAGGTTTCCCACATCCCAGTGAGTACCCTATCTGCTAGGCTAGAGGTTATGAGTACCTCCTGTCCCCAGCTGTGTTGTTTTAGGCCTCACAAAAAAATTAGGGAGCTAAGTGCCTATCTGCCCCCTGTTCATGGATTACTAGCAGAGCAAGGCACCCCTGTGCAGCCTGGACTTAGGCACCTATCTCAGAGAGGGGCAGGGCTTAGCATGCCCCCTCTCTGGTTGGTTTCTCCCATTGGCTCAGGTAGGTGGCTCCCTGCCTATTGTGCTGGCTTTGTGTATCACAGGCTAAGGTGTCTATTATGACAGTTCTTAGGGTACCCAAGACAGTTAGTCAACTTGTTACCTCCTGTCTCTGGTGTGAGGGAGTCTTGCTTCTGGTAACTGGGTGTTAGCTCCCTAGCACCATCAGCCTTTCAGCCATTCAAGCACTCTCCTCTAGGCTATGCCAGTGCTGTCTTTGCCTTGCAGGTTAACAAGAGGTGCACCCCAACCCCTGAGTCACTTTGAATTGTTCACCTGTGATATCCAGCCCCTGGTACTGGCTACTCACAGAAATTCCAGATTCTCTGCACCCAAAGGTGCAGTGTATCCCAATTTATCAGTTTCACCAGGGGTGCTGGAATTAGGGGTACTGGGAGTGCAGCAGCACTTCCTGGCTTGAAGTGGTTTCCATCAGATACAGGGCTTACAGTTTTGTTCAATGGCTTTCAGCACCCCCACTATACAAATTATTCCAACACCACTGGTTTCATATTAAACCACTGCTCCTCTAAACCACACAGCGCTTGTAATACGAAGCTTGACAGGTTACAAGCTTTCTGTAGATATCCTAAGTTACTCTTTATAGATAAATATCCTGTAAGACACATTTGGTGTAGTGAGTTTGTCAGGTCTGAGATAAGTCTGCTTTGCAAAGAACAGTGGGCCCCATTGTCAAAGGGTCTCTGTCACATCTGTCTCTCCACATTAGGCACCTAACTCCAGTGTTGTCAATATGAATGAAGCCACTTTAATGTCCGCATATAAACCTTACCTCATCATTAATGTTAAGACCTCGACTATTTGCATGTTCTCTGTCACATCGGTGGAGTTTTTCATTGTAACCCATTGGCCTCTTAAAAATGGAGTCATATGTGGAAACAATCCCTGTCTTGGGATAAAGAAAAAAATATGATTAACTTACAGTGGTGTTTAACACTGTGAGTTAGAAAATAATGTGGTAGAACTACTAACTGGTGCATGTGCAGCACTAGATGCTGTGAAGAACATCTGTTATTAGCAACATTTGGGGCATCCCTTTGAAATAGTCTGAAAAATTGTTACAATTCTTTTGGAGTATAAGCTTTCGTGGGTGAATGCCCACTTCATCAGACACAAGTACTTGCGTCTGATGAAGTGGGCATTCACCCACGAAAGCTTATGCTCCAATACTTCTGTTAGTCTTAGAGGTGCCACAGGACCCTCTGTTGCTTTTTACAGATTCAGACTAACATGGCTACCCCTCTGATACAATTCTTTTGTGCATTTGGCTTGTCTGTGAAAATGTGAAACTAAAACAACTTCTACATTATATGTAAAGACATTGGCAGAGGATTTTTCAGAGTATTTCATATCACTGTTTCCCCCTTTGTAATTTATAGTAACCACATGGAAGCTTAAATCGGTTTCCTTATTGGACTGTTTTCCTTCAGCAAATGCATACACTTGATTAAAGAGACATTCTGATTGAAGAAAATGAAGAGAGAAAGGCAGCTTTGAAGTTCATTTTGAAAGAAATAGATATTGGAAGTAGCCTGTGAATCAGCCTTTATCTTCAAGTTAATGCATAAACACACAGTCGCCACCCCTCCAAGAAACATAAAAATGATTGTATTTAAAACATCTTTTCATATGAAAATCTCAGAGCGCTATTTAATTAGTGTCTCCAGTGAATCCCAGTCTTGCATTTCCTGATGTACCGAAGACTCCCACTGATTGCAACACCGGTTCTCTATATACAAGAAGTGAAGCCTTGAGTCCTTGAAGTCCCAAAGTGCTAGGTAATGCACAATTAGCTACACACACTAGAGATTTATTATGGTTTACAAATACTAAACCATGTATGATTCAGAAAAAAATATTTGAGAGAGGAGAGGAAAAGACCTTTTGCAATATACTAATAATTACTTATGAAAATCATCAAAGGCTCAGCACTTTGACTGGAGAAGATTTCAACCTATCACCCTGCTCTTGTGACACATGATCTAAAAATCTGAAAAAGTGAAACTTAAAAAACTTCAATCTTCATTTTTGGCTCAGCAATGATGTAGTTGTAATTAGGCTTGGAAGGATTAGATTTTTATAGGTAAATGTCAGTAAACATCAATTTCACACATACAAGCTGACTAAATAAATTCCATCAATAATAATTGAAAATTACAGATTGGCAAAGTAAGAAAAGTGCTGCTTGAGAACTTTACAGTTTGACTTAAGGATATTTACTTTGTATATTTTCATGTGTGGTGTTGACAATTTGTGGGTTTAATGGCTATAAAGCTTTAACTTTTTGAATATCAATGTCAGTCATTAAATAATTGTCTGACACCCTCCCCTCCAGTTTCCCACAAGTGTGAACATTTACATCAATAAATATAAAAAATGCTTAAAGTCCATAATTTTGTGCAACTGTGAAAATTTAAATAGATTTAAAAAAAAAAATAAACATCTATTATCTATTAAACAAAATTCTGCCAGGCCTCATGGTACTTTAGAAAACTGAAGCATGTTCTGATTTTTATATATTTTTTTCTGTTTTATAACTATTTATCTCTAAAAATATTAAAGTCAGAACAGTACTAGATGGTTATAATGGTCCCAGTGAAAGGAAACTTTTGGCACTGCCTTAACTATGGTGTCACTAGTGCACCCCTATAATAATAGGGTTACTCAATAAGGGAAATACACTAGTTGGTGTTCAAGAGGAGGGGCTGTTTTGTTTTTTAATCTATTCTCCTTTTCACTTCTCAGAGGCGATGAGACTTGCAGAATTCTAGGTGGTGATTTGTCCTCTCCATTATTGTACTTCACTATAGCTTTTCCTTTGCTCTCCATATTTTATTTAGAAGCCAAGTAAAGATCTACCTCCTGCTGGTTAAAAAGAACTACTGCATTATTCACTGACTCACTATATCAATGAAGAAAATCCAGCCTTTCTTGGACTTGAAGGTAGACAGACAGCCTATTATGGTTAACTGTAATTCTGTCCTAGATAATCTGTTTTGAGCAGTTCTGCCAGAATTATCCCACCTAATTGTGCAATGTCTGGCTTGTTATTTTGTCTCCAGATACTTTACTGGTATTAATGGTAGTCATTTCCATCAGTTGCTAAATGCTAGGGTAGTAGGCCTGTATTTTTAATAACCAGTCAGAATGAATGAATCATGTAAAATGGACAAGCAATCCATGTCTCAGGTGAGCATTTCCTATGATCTGGCTTAATAAAATCAAGCACTTGTAAATCACTTTGCAAACATTAATTAAAGTCCACAGCATGCCTATCAAATAGGCGTGGATGGGGAAATGAAACACACACTGTTTACATGAATTTGCCCAAAACCAGAAAGGGAGTCATTGTCAAAAATGGGATTAAAATTAAGGATTTCCTGTCTTCCAGTCATGTTATCAGGCCACTTGCCCATGCTTCTGTCTACCTCAATCTCTGAATTACATTTGTCCACATATCTATTCAGGGGATACCATCATAGGACCTAATCACATCAGCCACACTATCAGAGGCTCATTCCCTGCACATCTACCAATGTGATATATGTTATCATGTGCCAGCAATGCCCCTCTGCCGTGTACATTGGCCAAATCGGACAGTCTCTACGTAAAAGAATAAATGGACACAAATCAGACGTCAAGAATTATAACATTCAAAAACCAGTCGGAGAACACTTCAATATCCCTGGCCACTCGATTACAGACCTAAAAGTCGCAATATTACAACAAAAACACTTCAAAAACAGACTCCAACAAGAGACTGCTGAATTGGAATTAATTTGCAAATTGGACACCATTAAATTAGGCTTGAACAAAGACTGGGAGTGGATGGGCCATTACACAAAGTAAAATTATTTCCACATTCTTATTCCCATTTTTGTCAAATGTATTTGCTAAGTGAATTTTAACGTTTTGGATTGAAATGAGCAATTCGTTTCACACAGATGATTAAGCCACACTCTAAGGCAGTTCAGTGCCTAAGGCTATGTCTACACTTAAGACACTACAGCGGCTTAGCTGCAGCAGGGCCATTATAAGTTTCAGTGTAGACACGACAGTGATGGGAAGTATTCTCCTGTTTGCTTTAGTTAATCCATAAGAGGTGGTAGCTAGGTTGACAAGAATTCTTCCATTGACCTAGCCATCTACATGAGGACTTAGGTCGTCTTAACTACGTCGCTCAGGGGTGTGAAAAATTCATACCGATGAACCATGTAGCTGGATTGATCTAATTTTCTAGTGTAAACCATGTGGGATGGAGGGAGGCACCCAACTCTGCTTGGGATTCTCAGCTATGAACTCTCTCCTGGAGTCAGATGCCTCTTGCAAGAAGCTTGGGGAGGGGGGCCTCCATAACTTCCAGTCCAGTGGTTAGGGGACTCACCTGGGATATGGGAGACCCCCAGTTCAAGTTCCCTACCGCCTGAGGGGGGAAAAGATTTTAACAGCAATCTCCCACCTCTTAGGTGAGTGCCCTAACTGACTGAGTTTAGGTGCCTACAGGGTTCGGCGGTAGCTGAGTGGGGTGTTTTGTGAATACCAGTGGTGCCTAAATCTGGGCCTACATCCCTTTGTGAATCTAGCCCACAGTAGTAAAGTTAACCATGTGCATGAATGTTTGTAGAATCAGGGCCTTACTGATGTTGAACTACTTTCCACTTCTGAACCAATATGGAAACTATTTCTTAGACTGCAATCTCTGACAGCACAGACTTCTCAGCAGAAATTGGGCAGCTAATCTGTGCCAAATATTGATAGTACTGAGATATTTTTCAATAAAATCACTATCTAAAGTATGTTTAGAGATTTAAACAGAGGACAACATTCTGTTTGTCAATTCAATATGTTTTGTTGAAATTCACTCCAACTCCTTTCTGTATCACTTTACCCATCTAGAAAATGTGGGTAATACCTTTTGTCCTCCAGCAGTGTTGTAAAAATTAATTACACTTTACAAAGAACTTTGAAAAAGAAAAGTGCTATGTAAGTGCTAAAGTGGACTTTCCAGCATAAGGCAAAAGTGTGACATTCTCGTGTGGTTGATTTGTGTGCCTTTAAATATTGGCATCAAATTTCAGATGGTTGTGTTGTCATCATGTCTATTGTGACTAAGACCAACCCACCGCAATCTTATTAGATGCAACTACATGGTCCCAGATTGAATGAGACTGCATAAAAGTGCCCAAAAGCTGAACTTATTATACATGCCCTTTACTAATTTCTCTAGGGCTCAGTAAATCACCATATAACCAATTATTATTTTTTTGTAAATTATACCCTAAGGAGCAAACAAGATTTTCCAGGTGCTGAACATCCTTGTTGATATTAATTGCTTTGCTTAGGAGGAATGATGAGTGCTGACCACTCAGGGGCCCAGGCTCTGCAAATTTAAGATTTAAGGGTGGGGAGTGAAAGCCAAGAGTGCATTTTCCTTTCCAGGTGAAATGTACAAACATCTACTTACTTCCTTGCACATCCCTGTGTGTGTGATGTTTCTGCTGCCCCCTGCAGCCTCTTCGCTTTCACTCCTATGCCCCCTCCTTTCTTATTCCTCCTCTTTTCATTCCCGCTCCCCAGCCCCGCTCCATGCTGTCCTTTCCGCGCCCTGCCCCTTTCTCCTCCCCCTCACCTTGAACTCCTGGTGGAAGTAGCTGTGCTCCGGGGGGTCCCTGCGGCCGGGCGGGATGTAGCTGAAAGCGGACAGGGCGGAGAGCGGCAGCTGGTGTTTCCCTTTTGTCTGCTCAGCTGATTTCTCCTCCCGCTGCCCGTCTGGTTCCGTCCCCTCCGGGGTGCGCAGCATCCCACGGCCAGAGCCCGGCCCGCCTGGGGCACAGAGCAGGGAGGTCCCGCTGTTGCCGGTATTTCTGCGTTCCGTGGTTACTAGGAAACACGCTTAGTATCCAATTGTGAGGTCACACAAAGGGAGTGGGAGCGGGAGAGGGAAATGAGTGGCGCCGTTAGCCACATAACAAGCTGTAGCGTGTTGGCACCAAAGGGAATCTCCAGAGGTAGGGAAGTTGTGCCCAGCAAAAAGCTCGCAGGGTGCGGGAGGTTTTTCCCCATGTCTTCATTTGTCCCCACAGCCCAGGTGGCGCCGCAGTAGGACGCCCTCTCCCAGCTCCCTCTGGCTCCCGGGTTAGGTGTATTTTTGACAGAAAGTGTTCCATCATTTCAGGTAATGTGCTGAAATTGCTCTCGCACGCTCAGATATTTGACATGGGAATAGAAACAGCCCCTGTCTCAATCTTGCCTGTCAGGTGGGCTCACAGTCACCCGACTCTGGGTTTGGACTGTGCTGAGTGGCTCCCACTTTCCACTTCACCGATTCTGTATTTAGCCAGAGGCTGCGGTGCATCTTTCACTGTGGGGAGGCTGTTTGCTAGTGTGGTAGTTCTGTGCAGGGATCTGTGGTGCTAGCTTGTTGTTCTTTAATTGTTCTCCCCAGTGACTGGTGCATTGGGGTGATATTGCTGGTCTTGGCCATAGAGTTCAGTTGTGGGTGGAGCTGTTGCACTGCTCAGGAGGTCAATGTTTCTGATTCTGAGGAGTGAGATATAGGACTGGATCATGCTTTCATTTGGATTTAATGTTCCAACCACTAATGTTCCCTAGTGGAGACTGAGCATCTGCAGCTTTGGATGAGACGACACCAATCATTTCTTTTCTTTCTGCATATGTATGTGCAGGGCCGTAGCAACAAAGAACGTGGCCCCCTCTGAACGGTGGCCCCCTCCGAACATATGTGCGGGCGGGGCCCCTTACAATGCAGAAACTGGAATGCGGTATTTATTTTGCCACTTTTAGGGGCCCCCTCCGGTCGGAGGGTACGGAGAGCGCTCGCTACGCCTCTGTGTATGTGACCTTGAATAATGGAAGCTCCTGCATCTTCCCATGCGTGTTCCTCAGTGACTGATCCTCTCTGAGGAACTGCAATGCATTCGGGCTGTATCAGTTACAATACAGAGCCAGAGCAGTAGAATGGGTCCTTAAAGGTCATAAAGGGAGTGAAAGTTCCATTTACACCCATGTTTCCCTAACTTCTTTGCTCTCTAACTTGTGTTCAATTCTCCTTACTTGGCAGAGAGTGGCTTCAGAAGGAGGTGTAGCTAACAACTTGACATCTGTCCATTTTGCACTCTTGCACCATTCTGTAATGTTCAGGACCAAGGTAAACAACTGTAACAGACTTGCAGTGAAAATAAATTGATACAACCAATGGGATACAAACATGAAGTTCAGTGTTGTTCTTTCCTCCATCTTTTTTTTTTAATATTATAATAGGGGATTCAAACCAGATGAAGAGATGCTGTAGTTTCCAAACTACATGATGTGCTCATGTGCTAAAATACGTTGTCTGCCACTCACTCTTTTCCTGTTGCCTCACAGTCCCATTATCTCTTCACTGTATATATTTATTTCAGATATTTCTGTTGCACCCATCACCATAATACCTAAATGCTAAAGCTATACTCTGTGATCGTTAACGCAGTAGGCACAATAGACAATATCCAGCAAAGGGGGATGGGGAGTGGAAGGGAGGAAGAACCCTGATACTCACACTACCAAATGTTGCCCCCATGAAACCAGCAGTTGCAATGTATGCAGTGGCTTACATGATACATGGCTGCTGGCACAAGTGCCTCCACAAACACACACACTATTGCTAAAAACCATTTATGAGTACCTATAGTGCTTTTTCATGATCAACAACCTAATGTTCCATAAATTATAAAATTAGGAATTGGGACCGAAATCTGGCATGTAAAGTCTCAATCAACAATTAATATTTTTTCATTAAAGTTGGTTGAGCTATTGTAACTTACAGAGAGTAAAGCAATTATAGAGAAATGGATGCTTTGGCGGTAGAGTGCAAGTTTGATGGAGCTGAGGTATGTATTGTGCAATCAAATCATTTTGCAAAATGCTCCCTAATCTCACATAGGCTGCTGGAATTGGATACAACCAGGAGCAGCTGCAGCAGTGAGGTGCACATCCTTGTATTACTCCAGCAGATTTGCCTAATTACATTCCTCCTTCCTCTGGGTCCTCCTTCCTTGCCAGTATGACACATACCTCTCAGCCTTCAAACATGCCAACATGGGCTGCTTGGAAGTGTGATGGCTGCCATGTTGGCAAACACCAGGGACTCAACCTCCACAGCGAAAAGCATGAATCTTTACAGATTGTGCTAAAGAGCCAGCCTCCAAGGTTTCAGAGTAGCAGCCGTGTTAGTCTGTATCCGCAAAAAGAACAGGAGTACTTGTGGCACCTTAGAGACTAACAAATTTATTTGAGCATAAGATTCCAAGGTGACAGCTTTCACAGGCTCCCATCCTCAGTGGACTGGGCCGAGAGGGGCATATGGACCATAAATGCTGACCAGTGGAGTACAAAACAAAATGTCTGACAAATGATTGAAATGTGAAATAGGTGCACTTTGATGAGTTACACCATAATTCAACAATTATCATAGACTAAGTATAAAAGCTCTTTTAAAGCATTCTTGTCACTTGCCAGAACCCAGAAGGCAAATTCAATTTTCTTTCTCACTTCTCTTCTTGCTTCATCTCCAAGGCTGAGCTAATCCAGTTGTCTCAGCAGGTCTGACAGACAGACTGTCAAAAGCAGGGCCGGCTCCAGGGTTTTGGCTGCCCCAAGCAGCCCAAAAAAAAAAAAAAAAAAGCGCCGCGATCGCGATCTGCGGCGGCAATTCGGCGGGAGGTCCTTTGTTCCCAGTGGGAGTGAGGGACCGTCCGCGGAATTGCCGCCGAATACCTGGACGTGCTGCCCCTCTCTGGAGCGGCCGCCCCAAGCACCTGCTTGCCAGGCTGGTGCCTGGAGCCAGCCCTGGTCAAAAGCATTGATGGGTGCCTGTTATAGCTTTGTCTTAAAGCCCTCATTTAAAGTCCCTTAGAAAGAATGTAAGTCAGTTTGGAAGCAGCACTAGAGGTAGCTAGACTATCTAAAGAGAAGTGCCTTTTTTTGTTTTGTTTTAACTGGGCTTGAAAATAGGGAGAAAGTGAGGGCAACGGGAAAGCGTTATTTTATTTCAAACACCAGAACTCCAAATTCAAATGCTCCTGAGCTCTGAAGGCAAGATTTTCAAAAGTGACTAGAATTCGGGGTATCCAAAATGAGGCATCTAAAGGCACCTGATACTTAGAAAGTGACCCTTTAAAGCTCAAATTGGGCACCCAAATTAGGCACCCAAAAATTGAACTTCTGACTTAGTAGCAGTTTACAACCACTTTGCATTCATTTTATAGAGATATAAATAACTACACAAGGGGCAAGGCAATGGAGACTATGATCCCATAGAACAAAGTGGCAGATTGATCTGACAAGTAGTTTTATCTTCCAAAGATTCTGCTGTTGTGATTTTTGCTTTTTTAAATATAATGATGTGTATCTTGTCAGAAAGGGAGCTCACAGCTAAGAATAACTGTTCTGTAGAGTACAACATCAAGGACACAATTCAGCAGTAGAGTTAATCAGTAAAGGAACTAGAGAGGAATTTGTTAAGCAAATGGTAGCATTAAAAGTGCAGAAAAGAACAAGAGGACTGACACTGATGGGAATCATAAGAGCTCTGATCTCACTACCAGAAGTTAACCGAGCGGGCATAAAGAAGTAGTAGTAGTGGCACTGATGGCAGACAGCTAGCCTGCTTGTCAGATTAGGGGTATAGCCATTCAACCTCTGTAGGAATTGTGTCCTTGATTTCTGGCCTCAGGATCTATCAGATGTCCAGGCACTCCTGATACTCAGTCAAGTCCTTCAGCAGCAAATGCTGCAACTGGTCATTCAGGTGAAAAGCTGGGAAGACTGTGACTAGTTTTTTAAAGTGACTTTCCCTTGCTACCAACATAACCTCTATCTTACTCAGTTTAAACTTGAGCTAGTTGTTTCATACAAGTGCATATTTCCTCTAGACCCTTTGGCAGCTGGGGGATGGCCGAATGTATGTGCTCCAAATAAGAAGGAAACATTAGAGAATCTCTAGATGACATGGGAACAGTAGAGTATCAGCAGTAGGATTGAACAAATATTTTATAGGAAATTTGACAAATTTCATCTCTGTTCTGGTCATGAATTATCCACAAACCATTTTTAGAATTTTCTGGAATGTATTTGTTGTTCCAAAGGATTCAACAAATAATTTCTATGACTGACTCTTGGTATGTAGGTTGCAAATTTGTGTTTAGTCAGCATCTGAACCTTTTTGTTACTTTGGACTGCTTGCTGTTTGTGTTCCCTGACTTAGATGAGAATAACTCTGCCCCACAAACCCACTTCACAGACAATCACGTTCACAGGCTCAAAGTTCACTTTCTGACAATATTATGGAGGTGCCATAGTTAGGGTTACATTCTAAAATGGGGCATAAATTCCTGTTTTCTGTCTAAGTAGGTAGCTAATAGGTGTAAAATTTCACACAATGTTAGTTTAGATGCCCATTGAATTTTCTATGTCACTTTTGTCTGGTTTCTTTTCATACATTTTTATTAGAAAGGGTTTGAATTTAATCTCTGGCTGGGTTTTCTATTCTTTGGTAGTCCTACTTTTCATGGTTGACAGATAGCTTTTAGAAATCTTTCTCCATGTGCACAACCTTGGCAGAGAGGTGGCCCCTGAGGAGACCTGGTAACAAGTACTTTGCAAAATGTTGGACTTAGGGTCGTGTAATGGTCCGGTGCGGGGGCCGGGCCCTCTCAGGGGCCGTCGGGAGCCAGGCCGCTTCACTACGCGGCCCCCTAATCGGTCCTTGGGGTCCAAAAGTCCCGGGGTTCCGCCCCTCAG